GGTATCCTGTAAAATTGATAGGGCCTATAGAGTAAATTCTTGGATTGCAAAGCAAAGGCAACTGCCTAGAGATGTGGTGATTTACTTTACAGATAAAGAAATAAGAAATGATATTGTGCAAAAATCCTTTAATTCTGCTTTACAACTGTATGGGAGAAAAATTTGGATATATAAAGAATTGCCACCTAAGATGTTAAGAGATAGAAAGAAATTTGGACTTTTGGTGACTGAGCTAAGAAAACAAAATATTTTATTCAGGTGGGATGTCCCAGTGGGTATAATATTGAGATATCAAGGAGTAAGATATCAGTTAAATACTGTTGAAAAAGCGGAAGAATTTTACTACAAGGTCCTTAAAAAGCAAAATCAACAAGAGACAGAAACTCAAGAAAAGCAGAAGGAGATGGCAGTAATGAAGAAACAACAAGTCACAGAGGTCTCCACAGATGAGCCGCTTTTGGATTTTCTCTCAGAGGTCTCAGCTGGACTATTTAATATAAGAGAGGCGGTTCCGGATTCTAATGTAATGATTTATCAAGCCACAAACCAGCATGGAAGTCAATCAGTTGATATACAATTTACAGAACCAGAAAGATTTAAGTCACAAAAGCAAAACCAACAAGATCAAGTTATAGATCAGCATGAAAACCAAATAGTCGATACACAATCTACAGAAAGGAATCCAGGATGGAGATCCAACCCACAAAAAGTCAAGAAAAGAAGAAGTAGGTCTCACAAAAACAAAAACTTTTAAACTAAACAACAGTGTAATGCCAGTTATTTATGAGAGGACTGAATATATGAAAAGATAATGGGCAAAGTATTGGTCTATTTTATCCTGAGGAGAGTGACAGATCTCTGCAGTGCTGAACTTTTGGGATGTGAAAAGGGCCTTAAATCGAATGGATTGGAAATATCTTTTTCGTTTTTTGGATTTTTTGATAAATATATTACGTTTATGCTGAGTTACATGGCAAGAGATTTACTGGATTGGGGCACGCAGAAGATCTGGTTGTTACCCTATTATGGTGGTTGGAATTAATAATCTGGATAAAAGACACCTCTATAGACATTATATGGAATATAAATATAAAGTCACTCGGGTGGTTGTTGTGGGTTTTTTTTTTTTTTTTTTTTGCAATATGAAGATATTTGTTATGGATGGGGGCAGATGGTAATTGAAGATTGAAGATACTGAAAATACTGTTGGAATTAGGATGCGATGTTACCCTAACATGGGCGATGGAGTTTATCATCCATCTGAAAGACATTACAGAAGATATTATATGGATTACAAGCTTAAAGGTTTTTTTTTTTTTTTAGGATTTTATTTACATAAGGGAATAATTTTCTAGTTGAGTGGGCAGAAGAATAAAGATATTAATATGGTAGTTTTGTAGGAAGTGGGTGGAGATAGGTTAGGTTATTGATTGTTTAGTTTAAAGAAAAGGGATATTATGTTTAGATGTGAATATATGTAAAAGATTTGAGCTAAGAGATATAATGATGGGGGGGAAGGAAATGGGTAGCTGAACTGAATAAATGTTAAATTAGGATTTACTACATAGTCTTATAGTGGAAGGTTGTTTTGAAATGTTATATTAATATATATAAAAGATTTGACTTAAGAGATATACGTATGGGGGGTAGTAAAAGGGTAGATTATGAGCGGAAATCGCTAAATTGGGAGATATAATATTATTATGTTAAATTAGGAGTTATTAGATAATGTTATAATAGAATGTCACTTTGAAATGTAAAGTATAGTATAATATAAGGGGGATATGATAATTTTATTAGAAAGAAAGGGTCAGCATATGGAGATGGAGTAAGTGGATGGTAAAGTATGATATAATCTGTTATGAATTTGGGTTTTATTATGAAGAAGTCACAGGGGAAGGGGAGGGTGAGGGGGGGTTAGGGAGGAGGGGGGAAAAGGGGGAAAAATCTGTATTTGAAAAACTTTTTCAATAATAAAAAAAAATGAAGCAATTCATTAATAGATGTCAAGTGTAATCAGATCTTTAATCCACTATGTAAAAAAGAGACATATATTTATCCATAGTCACCTTTGGTGAGATGGGCAACTATATAAATTTCATAAATAAATAAATAAAATCTTTCCAATACTGCAATATCAGTCTTTTGGCATATTAAAGGCACAGACATTATCCAGTTGTCAAATTGTCAAATTCAGTTGTCAAATTCAAAGTACTAGGTATGTAGTTCAAGAGAATATTGTCTGAAAAATTTAGCTTTCTTCACCCAATTTTATTTATATAGTCCACATGTCCTCCAATTTAATAAATGTAGGACATTGTAAAAACATGCTTTAAAGAGGCATTATCTTTATTACACTTTCTCAAAATTATTATTTTGACAGTTCTTTTCTATATAAATTAACAGAGAATCAGAGCCACTAGCTTCGGCTTGGTGCCTTGCTGGGCATTCTGTCAATTGGGGAAGGGAGGAGGGAACAGATGGCCAATAAAACTGTATACCTTTATGATGGAAAATTGAGAAGGGGGAAATTGAGAGTTGAGGAAGAACAGTGTCTTGGAATCCCGTTCATGCTGGTCACTGGCATCTTCAAGGTCATTTGTCCAGAGTGTGGAATTTCACCAGCCCAAACACCTCGGAGTTTCCCATAACATTTTGGTTCTGCTAGATTGATTTTGGTTCTGTATTTGTGCATGGGAATTTTAGTCTCTGCTTGGCTCTACTGCAATCAGCATCTCTTAGTAAAAGTGCCCTTTTGCTTCAGTCAAATGGAGTTGAGAGTTTTACTTACCTAAGAGATCTAACTGGGGCAGTTCAATAAATTCTAAACACTTTTTTTTATTTATATAAGCCATAATTTGAAGCCAACACTCTTACTTCAGAAGTTAAGACACTCTCTCCACTATCCCAGTTCACTCCAGTTTTGCTAGATATTACACTTTTAAAGTATTTAATGTATTTAGATCCCAATACTGTCCATCCAAACATTTGAAATCAGGGAGCTGAGAAGCTGGTTGGGGACCTGCAGCATGATGTTCAGCTCTGAGAGGTACTTGGTAATGTCCACCATAATTGCTAAATCACCCAGCCACTTGCTAAATCACACCTGACATGTTTTCCCTTCATCTCCATGAACTGCTTGACTTCATCCCAGAGTTTGCAAAACCTCATAAGCATGTTCCCGCAACTCAGCCATCCCACTTCACAATGATGAACAAGATCACTGTACTCAAAGTCAAGATCAATCAGTAACTCTTTAAACTGGCAGTTATTAAACCCTCTGCTTTTGACAAAATTTATGCATGACACTATGTTGACATCATATTGTTGAACTGCAACAGTCAAGATCAATCAGTAACTCTTTAAACTGGCAGTTATTAAACCCTCTGCTTTTGACAAAATTTATGCATGACACTATGTTGACATCATATTGTTGCAACTGCAACTCTGCAACTGCACAGAGACTTTCTTGGTGTATGATGCAATACAGTAGTATATAATTAAATTACTTGGATCAAGACTGAGATGATTCAGATCCTTCTTGATAAATGTCATTAATCTTTTTTGTGAGTCAACCATGGCTGGAGCTACATCTGTAGTAAAGCCACTTAAGTTTTCAAATGTTAGCTCAAGTTTTTTCATTGATAAAAAATATCTCTTAAACAAGTCCTCATCTCTTCTAGTGCCATGTATGGCTTCCAAAGACAGTCTGGACTCCTGACAAGGCATACACGTAGCGACCCATTCCGTTATGTCCTTGTCCATGCTCGGCCACCAGACATAGCTCCTGGCTACTGCCTTCATCCTGACAATGCCAGGGTGCTCCATGTGTAATGTTTCTAATACTGGTTTTCTTAAATACTTGAGGTACGACGACACTATTCCCCCACAACAGACACCCCTTTTGAACTGACAATTCATGTTGACGAGTTTGAAATGGTTTCAATTGACCCTCCACTGGTCCCCCAGGCCATCCCCTCCACACCCAGTTCAAAACTTGTGCCACAGTTTTGTCCTCTCTCTCTCTCTGTGTGTGTGTGTGTGTGTGTGTGTGTGTGTGTGTGTGTGTGTAACTCTGGAAAATAGGCCCAATTACCAGGTGAAAAATTTATTTATTTATTTATTTATTTAATTAATTAATTAAATTTTTATACCGCCCTTCTCCTGAAGGACTCAGGGCGGTGAACAGCCAGAGTTAAAATACATGCAGTATGAAAATTAAAATAATTTAAAAATAATTAAATCCAATTTGGCTTTCCAATTTTAAAACCCCTTACCCATAAAATTAATCAATTAAAATTTTAAGCCAAAATAAGAACATTCCCTGAAAAGCTAAGTAAAAGAAATTATATGAGTATCTTAACTTTTTCTAAGCCTTTAGACTTAGAGAAAAGGAGAAAATAATAGGGAATAAATAAATATGGAAACACTAAATAATGTAGGTTAAACTTTGACTATGGAAATATAAAAATTAATTTTAAGAGCATATTATATGGGATGAGAAATAATCTCAATAGATCACCTCTTAGTTATTTTTTTCAATATACTCCACCGTTAGGTAATTCTTTGTAAAAAAAAGTTGATCAATGAGAACGTCTATTTCAAAGCTGAGTTTTTGTATGCTGATTGCGTGAAAACGGTCTCTTTTTATGCTTTTCTGCGTTTTCTATTTTGCTATCGGCTCACCGCAAAGCGCAAAACATACACAATACACAACATAGAATACTTTAAAGTGTTTAAGTATATTCCATAACGTTGACTATCAACATATTCTGAACATAGATATCCCTAGCACAGTACAGAAATACACCAGCTTCTCAGCTCTATTTCCCCAAGGACACTTCTCTTTGCTGGAGGACCCCGGGGAGTCTACTCGCTGGCAGCCGAGGCCTGAGAGATGCACGCGTCAGAATTGTTGACAATCCCGAGCAACCCCATTCCCACACAACAACAGAACGAGGTGGGGGGGGGGCTGTGCAGGGGCGCCGTTTTCCGGTTACGTCACTTCCGCCGCCCTCCTTTCATCGGCTCCAAGATGCTGGACGGCAGCGAAGTGCAGCTGTTGGTTCGACGGGGGAGTGGCCGTGGACCGGGAGAGGACAGTAGGACAGTGGGTAAGCATTTGCTGAGTCAAGGAAGCGGGCGGGTGCACGAACCGAGGGCCTTCGCCGTCTCTGCAGAGTGCAGCGTCCGCTCGACGTCTGCCCTGCTTTTACTTGGAAGTTCCCTGACTTGGGTCAGAGCACTTTCGGAGGGCCTCATGTTGGGTGCGGGAGGCGGGAGCAGAACTTTCCTTTCGGCCACTGACAAATACTTCTGGGAGTCATAGTTTTGAACGACCCCGAAGCCACTGATCGGTAGCAGGCGGTTTCCAGCCGTGTTCCGCCATAGGCCGGGCATCCCCTCCCCATCGTGGTCGACCGAGTCAGGCAGGGAAGACGGCTGGACATAGCTTCCTTAGGGAACTGGGTCCTATGTCTCGGAAGGCTTTCCAGGCGATGACAAGCCCCTAGAAGCGAGCCTAGGAGGCCCCTGGTAACTCGAGAGGCAGCGGACTCGAACCCTCTCTCCACTTCATGGATCTGGGCGGCGGTAGAGCAGTTTGCCATAATCAAGCCAATCGTGAGGTGACTGGCAGGAGTGACAGACTGAAGGTCCCCAGGAAAGGGAAGGCTCTCGATATCCTGTATTTCACTAACTCTTTTAGCTGAATTTGATATCAGAGTAGCAATTGCATTTGTTTATTTATTCAATTTATAGACTGCCCATTTCCCAGTAACCGCAGTTTACAAATGTGAAAAATATAAAAGAGCAGATAGGCCTAATAAAAAGGAGCAGAGATGCCAAAGATAATCCAGACAGAAACAAGGAAAAAAGTGGGGGATTGATCACACACACTAACAGCCTGAATGAAGAAACCCAAAACGTGCCAACCCATCCAGACTGGATCAGCTGGGCCAGATTATATATATTAACAAACAGTACAGTATTGGTTTGGTTTCATTATGCAATTCAGGTAAATTATTTTTGTTTTCCTTATGCAAGAAAAACCAAATGCACAGGTATAGAATAGGTCGGGTCAGCAACCTGCGGCTCTGGAGCCCCATGTGGCTCTTTCACCCCTCTGCTGTGGCTACCTGTCACTCAAAATATGTGCCCCATCGCCAATGTGTGACATTTACTGGCACGCAATTTATTGAGCTTTTCAACCCCCAGTAGGCCAACCATGGATAAATCCAAGAAAAGAAAAATTTCAGAAGAAAACAGAACGTTTAATTCAACTACATATGCTAGTTTTGTGGCTAGAAATAGTCAGGCATGGGAAGGGTTTTGTGGCTCCTGGTGTTTTCTTTTCTGTGGGAAACAGGTCCAAATGGCTCTTTGAGTATTTAAGGTTGCAGACCCCTGGAATAGGTGGTACCTGGCTCAATAGCAGTAATTGCTAGATGGATCTAGGAGTCCTAGTGGACAATCACTTAAGTATAAGCTAGCAATGTGCTGCAGCCGCTAAAAAGGCCTATGCAGTCCTAGGCTACATTAACAGAGGAATAGCATCAAGACTATAAGAAGTGTTAATACCGCTTTATAAGACTTATTGCCTTGGTAAGACCAAACTTGGAATATTGCATCCAGGTTTGGTCGCCACAATATGAAAAAGATATATCTAGAAAGAGTACAGATAAGAGCAACAAAGACGATTAGGGAACTGGAGGCTAAAATATAAGGAGGGGGTCAGCCTATTTTCTTTTTAAAAAAACTTATTGTTAAAACAAAAGTTGGACATGGTGGAACTGTCTTGGCAATATCTCCGCCATACAAAATATAGCATACGTTTCTTATATCTTCCATATATATTACTACTTACTAATTCTATACACATACTTAACTTCTTTTACATGATTACAGATACATACTATATTACATATATTGCATCTTGTTTTGATCTATACATCCTTGTTCCTATCTGTTCCGATTTCCATTCCTTAAGTCTAATCATTGGTAAAATTTATTCCAAATCTCATAGTATTCTGTCTCCTTTATTTTTCAGTTCTAACGTCAGTCTATCACATTCTGCACATTCAAGTACTTTATTATTTCCCATTCTTTCGGTATGTTTTCACTCTTACGTTGTTGGGCATAAACTATTCTTGCTGCTGTTATGATATGCAGTGTTAAATATGTTAACCTTTTACTTAAACCTTCTTTTATAATTCCTAATTAATAAGTGCTTGGCTTTATTGCCATGCTCAAAATCCCGACTGGACTTATTATCAGGGGATGTCTTATTTTGGGGGAAACGGTAATAGGTGCCAGGTATTTGATCACAATTCCAGCATTTAGGTGATCAATGTTTGTACATTTTGTCTAGCCTAGCTGGTGGTAGGTGCCACCTATAAACATTTTATATAGGTTTTCTTTGTACGACATGGCCAAAGTTAGCTTCCTGTTTCTTTCTCACAATTTTTCCCACTTTTCCAATTCAGTATTGTACCCAAAATTCTTTGCCCACAACCATTGTCTCTTTAACACACTTTTCCTCCATTTTGTATTCTAATAAAAATTTATACATTGCTTTGATAATTTTCTCCTTTGTCCCCAATAAAAGTTTATCTAATATCGTTAAGTTTCTGCTGATGCCCCACATTTTCGTATCTTTCATATAACTTGACTGAATTTGTAAATATGACCACCATTCCAAATCTAATCTTTGTTCTTTTAGCTGCAATCTCGATTTTAATCTCCCCTGTTCATCTAATATATCTTTATATGTTACATTTTTTCCCCAATTGATATGATTTGGATATACCTCTGCTTCTAGAGCAGAGAGCCAGATTGGTATTTTGCTATAGTTCTGTTTTTTTATTTTGTTCCATATTCCCAATAATGCCTGTTGTATGTGGTGTCTTTGGAAGTATTGATGTGCCTTATGTCTTTCATATCAGAGGAATGCATGCCACCCTGCTTGAATGTCATGACCTTCTAATGTTAATAATCTTTTGTTTCTTAGGGTTATCCATTCTTTGACCCGGTGATCGTTGCCACTTGGTAATATAGTTCCCAATCGGGCAAACCAAACCCTCCTGTTTCTTTGGCCTCCTGAAGTAGTTTCAATTTAATTCTTGACTTTTTCTCCTGCCATATATATTTCAACACAATTTTGTTCAAATTATCAAAATACTTTCTCTCTAATTTTATAGGTGTGAGATTTAAAAAAAAAAACATCAAACCTCATAAAAAGTGAAACAGAGACCATGAACAACTAAAAAGCAGATTTATTAATATATATATATATATAAAGCTATATATATATTTCAAGCTTTTGCAAAAGGGTTCTCCCATGGAAGAGAGAGAACATCAGACCAGTTCAATTATATGGTTTAAATACAGTTTTCAAGGTACAGCAATACAATGCAAATCCCCCCCCCCGCCGCCCCGGGTATTGTTTTCAGGTCTTATGTAACAATTTGGCTCTCTTCACATGTTCCACCCTGGAGTTCCCCTCCAAAAATACCCTCTGAAAATACCCTTTACAGATGTTTCCATGCTGATTGGTATTGTTCTCCTTAATGGATCATTAGGCTCTTCCTCTTTTTCAATAGAGTTTAGAATCAGCCAGACCCAATTTAGAATGTACCAAAAGATTTATTTCCCCAAAACAAGCATCACAGTTCTTCAAAACAAGCATCACAAAAACATCACAGTTCCCTTTTCCTTTCCAGAATCTAATGCTTACTCATGTCCTAATTACCAGGTTATATAAATCAGATTATATAAAGGTTAAATATGGCGTTACTTTGGTTATGCTTTTTACAGGAATAATTCATTTTCTCTCAATCCTCCCTTTTCCTTTTTATCAGTTTTATTCCTGTAAATTGCGTATGTCTTGTAACATTATTGACACTTCCTGTCTTCCTAATCTTCCATGTGATCCTTCTGTTATTTTCTTTTGTTTTTTCAACGACAACAAAGTTTCCAACAGTTACAGCATACAGGTACACATTTGATACAGATACAAGAGATAAGACATATCATTACAATAATAATGATACCTACAAACAACTCCTTTAACCATGCAAAACTGGGTAACCACGAGATTAATAAGTTAACAAATCCCAAATTCCTTTAAAAGCAGTGTTTTCTGTAAATGTGTAGTAATGTTATGCAATTTTCTCAACTTAGATTCTATAAATTCTATCAACACATACCTTGGAATTCCTCACATCCATGTCCCATCCTTAACAACATAACCATATGATTTTGTAATAGAGCTTTTCTGATTTTTCCTATTTCATCAGCCAGTGCAGCAATAGCAAATGTTGTTTCATTTATACTTTTTGCTAAAGCACAGGCTAGATGTCCAAGTTGCAACTGCCATTACAGTGGTTAAACGGCCAATGGTACAAGGACCACCCATTGCATGTGCGAGTATGTATGCATAAGCTTATAACTCACAATTGTATAAGAACTCCATTCTATTTGAAAGATCGTTGTATTGAGGAACTATTTCATATGTATGGTTGCACCTGGGATATTTCCCCAATGGTACACCATCATCAAAAGATGATTTAACACAAATCTCAGCTTCTTCTGTGGTTTCTATCAGATTAGTGGTGTTTGCATCAGGGAATATTGGTGCTCAAGTTCGGTATGGAAACACAGCTGCTGCCATGTTATGAGATAACTAGACAATACAGCCAAAGTCCCCATTCCTATCTGCACCTGTAGTATAAGATTCCACAAAGTAATGAATATTACCACAACAAATCCCATCTTCCTAATGGACTAGGCTCCCTGTTTGGAGTATGTTTTAGATGTGTAAAAGCTAAAAAGCTTACCATTAGACTTCAAGTCTTTCAGCCGATCATAGGGAACTTACATCCACTGGATACCACAGCATTAATTTACACCATTCAGTTGTCTCCTTTCTTAATACAATCAATAACACAATAAAAATGTTTATTACTCCCAACTAAATGTTTAGTTCAGTTCAGTTCAACTGTCCAAAGTTCCATTTGTCGGTAAAATAATCCATCAATCGGATTGGAAAGCTCCATCAATTGTCGGATATCTGTCTTCTGAAGGTTAATATAAGCAGGTTTGTTGCATCTTTTTA